TCCTGCACAATTTTGGTGTGGGAGTGGTGCACATACATAATGTATGGCTCCAATCGCACCACACACAAATCGCATGTGATTTGCAAAGGAATGTGCTGTGGTTCTTGTGTGAATCACATGCGATATACCGCACCGCATATATGTGAACCCAGGCTTAAGGGCATATCCAAAAAGGAATTGTGGCAACACAAAATTTAAACATTTAAAAGTTTACGTTTTTTTATACAAAAAATAAAAAAGACACATATTAAATATACACAGTTTCTGCTGTTAGATGGAACAGTTCACATGACAGCTCGATGTGTTTGGAACACTCACTGTCTTCTTCAGGAACACATGTGAACAAAATCTAAAATCGTATACTGCATAATTATCGAACTGTCATATAGCCATATGAAAATTACTAAAAAAATCATTATATGCATCTAAATGTTACCTGCATAATCATTCATGATCAAGCCATCTGTATAGGCCATCATTTCTACAGCATAATCTTTGTTAGATCTGAGTTCAACCTATAAATGTGAAAAACAGATGTAACAATATGGCGGCATGTGGTGAGAAATCTATAAATCATGGCAGCTGCCCCTTTTATATGTAAGCAACACTTATATCTCTAAGAACGTTTATATTAAAAAGAAGGTGCTAACCCTTTAGATCTCTGTGGAAAAACTGAATGTGCAAAAATAAATACAATTATGTATAGCACATCAATAATTTCACATGACAAAATATCTGAACATGATTGATCAAATGTCCACATCAAATACAAAAAAGAGTCCCAAATCACCAGTATCTTGTGAAAAGAAAAGTGAATAAAGTGACCAAATTTTCTTCAAACCAAGAAGTTGAACCAAATGTGTTCCACCACGTGATCAGCTGAAATGCCAACTCACCAGATCAATAAGGTCGCAAAAGCAGCCAACAAGCAGTATGGATGAAGTCCTATGTCTAGAGGATTATCTCTTCTCCATAGGATACCAAAACTACTCCACACATACTGTAATTATCATAAATGTAGGATCCTCATAAACCCAAAGGTAGAAACACAGAAACACAGAAAAGTAGCAGCAGGAAAAGACAGAGTGGTCTATCAAGTGTGTGTGTGTAGGGGGGGGGGGGGGGGGAGGTGGTTTTCTTTTTGTTTTTTTGTTAAATATTTTGTTAACTTTTTTATCTGAGTATAGATCTGTGCTTGTCTCATGTGTGTTTGAAGCTATGTACTGTTGACTAACTCACTATCTTTGCTGGAAGTTTATTCCAAGCATCAACTACTCTTTCAGTAAAATAGTACTCCCTGAGATTAGTTTTGAACTTTCCTCCAGTCAGTTTAAGGTCATGTCCCCATGTTCTTGATTTTGATTTCGTGTTGAAAATTCTGCCCTCCTTAACCTATTCACCCCCTTGATGTATTTAAAGGTTTCAAGATGAATGAGGAAAAAGCTCAAAAACAGTATAACATAGTGCTGTAGTTTTATTTAAAATTGGGAACATGAAAAGCAAAGATTGCTATGCACTCACATGAAATAGGTTCTAAAGGGGGCACCAACTCAAATAGCTCACTGGGGGGATCCAAACCCTCACATCATCGCTCGTAGGTTCAGAGCCGACGTATGTTCCATAGAACGGATATGATGCAAGCGTGGGAGCCGGAAGTGACGTTGGTAACTCAAGCCTAAATGTATTTCGTACACCCGCGCATCATCAGGAAGCATTCAAATGGAGGAGCACATTTGGTTAATTTTTAAAAAGAATTGGTCACTTTAATCACTTTTCTTTTTCCAAGATACTGGTGATTTCTGACTTTTTTATACTTGATGTGGACATTTGATCAACCATGTTCAGATTTATTGTCATTTGAAAATATTGATGTGTTATACATAATTGTATTCATTTTTGCACATTTAGTTTTTGCACAGAGATTTAAATGGCTAGTACCCTCTTTTTAATATAAACTTTCGTAGAGATTGTTTTTAAAGATCTAGTGCTTTGCTACAAAACAATTTTTTTCAGTAGTTTGCTGAGGCTGTTCCTGTTGATCCAATATAAAAAAACTGTCCCACTGCTGACTAAACTCTGACTAATTTTCAATAAAAATGAAGAGACCTCAGATGTAAAATTGGCCTGCAAAAGAACTTCAATAAATGAGAATTGATCGAAATGAACTAGAAAAAAAGAGTATAGGCAGGTGTTTTACTCCATGAATTAAAAGGCTACAGCTGACACAGATAAATAGACAAATAGCACAGGATGGGGCTTTGCTTCAAGAATTCAGATACTGCAGAGGAACAGTAATGTGAAATTGACCAGCATCAGGACATTTTTTTTTATCAGGAACAATAGACTAAACTTGTTTATGCCTAACTTTTTTTTATTCTATGGCAGTGGCTCCTAGCCTTAGTCCTCAACGATCCCCAACAGGCCATGTTTTTCCCTTCAATTAAAACTCTCATAAATACCAAGCCATCAACACTGATTTAAAGTACTTGAGGACTGAGGTTAGGAACCACTAATCTATGGGGATAAGGGGTATGGTGAATATGAGTGATAAAAGTAAGGTGGTTTTGGTGCACACTAATCTTACACTTAAGCTGGCCATAGCAAAATTTTGATCTGTGTGTGGCCACTCTCATATAACCGAAGTCTATCTAGCTCTGTTGAAAATCAGCTTCGTCAGCCATACATGGATTGAAATTCTGCCAGTTTAGCAGGGACTGAAAGAATTTCAATACATGTATTGGCCGGGAGGTTATACAGCAGTCGAACTACTGATCAACGTCTTTACAACTGCTCTGGCGGATTTTTGACTCTCCATCATCTCTGCTGGCTATAGCAGCCCACTGGTTGAATGAAAACAACTGACTCATTTAAGGGATATCTTACTGGGATGATCATCTAGTAAAAATAAAAGAAAGATAGCCTATATAGGAAAATTAATGCTACCACCACATATAAGAATTGGTAAAATGCACTATAATCAAAGTTTTCTTTTGGGGTTACACGCTAAAAATCCTTTTTTTTTCTGTTTTGAAGATGTATATCACCAGCACGGTTAAAGCCAAAGGGACACGGCTCGCCAAACCTGTCTTGTGCCTGGGTTTGATGTGTTTGGCTTTTCTTACTGGAATAAACAGGGTGGCAGAATATCGCAATCACTGGTCAGACGTCATAGCTGGCTTTCTCATTGGAATATCAATAGCAGTGTTTCTGGTAAGTATGTATTTTCTTACACAAATGGAAAATGTATTTAGTATTAGTGCTTCTTTGTATTTTTTTACATGCAGTATCTAATATTTGCTTGTTTAATTCAGGTTATTTGTGTGGTAAACAATTTTAGAGGAAGACAAACAGAACAGGAAAAATCACCAATTGACAACTTGGCGCAGATGCCAATGATCAGCATACCACGGGTAGAAAGCCCCTTAGAAAAGGTAATCTAATTTCCTTGCCACTCTTTTGGGTTGATTTACTAAAACTGTAGAGTGCAAAATCTGGTGCACCTCTGCATAGAGACCATTCAGGTTCAGGTTTTTTGCATCAAAACTTCATTGAACAAGCCGAAGTTAGAAGTTGATAGGCTACCATTCACAGATGCACCAGATTGTGCACTCTACAGTTTTAGTAAATCAACCCTATTATGTCTAAACCCTATTGTTCTTGAACTGCCTACTAAGCCATGTCAATGTTCAGTTCATTTTCACTCTGTATGTCAGTGGACATGGCACTTTTCGCACACACATTACAGGTATGGCCACATGCATGGTTGCAAGCTTATGTAAAAAAGCCTAGGGAGAAGTTAGAGGCTATTACTGAGTAGGAAAAACAGCAATATGAAAGTATAGTATCTCGTACCAGCCAATCAGAACAAATCTCCTTCTTGTACTATGTTAGTAAACAACGGTTAATAACAACTGTAGTCTTGCTGAAAGTCAATAACAGTGATTCCCAGTTCATGATCATTGTCCTTGGTCTTTGATGACATATCAAAACAGTCATTACTTCATCCTCAGTCAGTCGCAGAGTATAAAAAAACCCAGAGGACTACAAATTGGATAACATTTTTTTATTACACTATAAAACTACAAATGTGTGTTTGTTTGCAATATTATCAATTCAAGCATCAGTACAAAGTGATATGTGTTACTAAATCACATAAACAAAAGTAGTCTACTGGCCTACAGATACATTTTGAACAAGTTAGAAAAACAAAGCTAAAACACAACGATTTTGTCAATATACAGGCAGTCCCCGAGTTACATACATCTGACTTACATACGACTCATAGAGTACAAATGGAGGGAAACAACAGAAAGTGAGAGGAAATCTACCCCTAGGAAAGGAAATTCACTCCTGTAAGAGTGGTCATGGGAAAAGGTATCTCCACTGAAGCTGATTTTACAAACAGCATGGGGCTGTATTTACCATAGTACATTCAAGGTCTAGTGCCTGGGGCAACAGGATTGGAAGGGGCTGGGAATTGTGATAACGTTTCACTTATGTTTTCCCTACATTACTTTACTTTTTACCACCACCGGACAGGACATTTGTGGCTAAATTCTACCAAAAAAAAAACTGTTTAGGGAAGGGGTGGAAGAGATGTTGGGAACAATGAGTGCATTATTTTTGTAACATATCATCCACTCTCCTCTCTTTCATTTTATGGTATGCATTGAAAGTAGCTCTATAAATACAGCAGACCCCCAGCAGTACATTCAAGCTTTAAAGCAGAACTTCACTCAATAAATCAACAATTACTATTTTTAATCCTTATGCTGCTAGCATTAGTAAATAGGAAAAGTATATCATATTCACTTTTTTTTTACATTTCTTCAGTTACTTCTTGATTTCTAGTTCTGGACAAATGATGTCATACATCCCAGGAGTTTTTCAGGAGGGGAGGAAGGGTTTTCCCAGCTAAGCACACTCTCCTGCCTTGCATTCCTGAGCTAATGACAGATGGATTCAAGGAAGTAAATGCTGCATGAATCATTTGCCCTTACCAGGGGCAAACTGACAACTCATGGGGCCCCCGGGCAATAGGGGATCATGGGGCCCCTGTGTCCTTGCCCAAACTGAAAAAAGCCTATGAAAAAGGTACCAGGGGCATCTCATGGGGCCCCCTACTGACCCCGAGCCCTCGGGCAGTGGCCGAGTCTCCAAATGGTCAGTCCGCCCCTGGCCCTTACTCAAGATCGCCATAGCCATACATGTTAGGGAGTGTTTTTCAAAGTGATTTTTCATCAAACGTAAGCATGGAGACATGAATGAATGGGTGAGTTTGCTTTAAATGTTAAAAATGAATTATTAGTGTTTTTGGTTTGTGGTGCTCAGATGCAATGTATTTCACCTTTTTTAAACTAAATATTCACATGGAACAAGGGGAAATCATTATAATTCTCAAAAGAAAGTTATCATTAATGTGCACGAGTGTCCAGACTACACCTGACTGATCCCACCTGTATGCACACAAATGGAAATGAGACCCATGTCTTCATTAACATTCGGACAAAGTGCCCTGCAATGGGGGAGATTTTTCCACCCAGATATCTAGGGTCTCCCCCTTAGAGTAAGATAGCCCCAAGATATCCAGATCCTTGCATAAATGTGTAGAGGTACAAAGTTCTCCCTGTTATGCATTTACAAAAAAGGACATTGTAAATTAAAACATCCAAACAGTTTAAAGGATAAGTTCACCTTTTGAACATGTTACATGTTGCATCTGTATTTAAGGTATAACATATAACATGTTCAAGAATACCCTCTTCTCCCACTTAGAACCCACTTCCTGGTGATAGTGGGTGGAGGTTCCTCTCTCCCAAAACAGGTGTCACATTTAAAATCAGCACGGTTGTTTGGGCTCCACCATGGATCTTTGAATGAATAAACTAAAACTCTAGTCTGAAACTGTGATAGGCTGATTTGTAGTTTCAATGAACTGCAAGTGTACTGATCAGCTTACTTGTAGTCCATTCACACTTCCTACAGTTCTCAAACTCACAGCCCATACAGAGGTACAGGCACAAAGGTGTAGGCAGTGTCTGCAGAAGCCTGACATTGCACCTGTTATCCACTGATCAAGAGTGCAATGCTCTGCAGGCCTCTTTGCAAAATAAATAAATAAAATGCATTTTAATTTTATAACCTGCAAAAATATGTGCATTTATTATTTTTTTCAAAAAAAGGCTAATCTGCATTTAAAAAGTAATTTGTCCAAAAAAAAAAATAAATTATAGATCAAAATAAACAATGTGCCCTAATTTAAATCCAATGTCAATCTCATTGTCTGATGATTTATTTCCACACCAATTACCAAGACGGATGGCGGCACTCAGGCTGCATGTCTGAATAATGGTATGGTATGAAATTTTAGGGAGACCCACACCCCTCTTGAACCATACAAGGGCACATGCTCTCAACATTAGGAGGGTACCTTGCAACAGAAGGTGGCAATCATATCATCCAGTGATGTAGATCTGGCATCACAACTAGGCTACCCTGCTGCTACATCTTCCACAAATGACAGATCATCAGTACTGCTAGAATATAAACACAGTGGTGGAGAGATCCAAGGTGAGGCATCCCAGTTTAACCCCTTCACTGCCAGGCCCTGTGCTTCACTTTTAAACTCAGGTGGCCAGACCATTTTTTGCAATTTTTCCATTGTTTTTTTTATTTTTCCCTTACAGCTTTCAGTGTTTGTAAAAGACCCACCAAACCAATAGATTTTCTGAAAGCACATCACCAGTAGAGTTATAATAAGATGCTCTTGATTTTTTAGGCCCTGTGATATCTGCTCAAATGTTTATTAATTCACTTTTTTCTCTATAAAAAACTGCATTGAGGTAATAAGTAAATATTTGTACATTTTAAATTGCGCCTTCTTGTGAAATGGTGAAAACGGAAGGTATGCAAAACTGTAAATAAAAACAATTTACTAAAAATCTGGAGACTATCATTTTTCAGTTACACCCTTCAGAGTTTTTAAAAGAGCTTGAAACAATATATTTTCTGAAAGTACATGTAGACCAGTAAATTTAAAAAATGTGCTATTGATTTTTTTAGGCCCCATGATAGTTGTGCAAATATTTATCAATTCACTATTTTCACTACAAATACACTAAAATTATCATTACTGGATACAAATATTGCAAATCTTACAAAATTCCTGATAAATTCCCACTGAATATAAAAGCTGAAACTGTACTGAGTTAATGAATGACACATATTTGTAAATTTTAAATTTCTCCATTTTGTGTAATGGTGAAAAGTGAAGGTGAGCTAAACTGTAAATAAACAATTTACTCTAAAAATCTGAGTTGATCATTTTTCACTTGCAGCTTGTAGAATTTGTAAAATACCCCCTCCCAAACCATACATTTTCTGAAAGCACATGACCTGAAAAAAAAAAAAATGTTACAGATTTTTTTAGGCCCTGCAATAGTTGCACAAATTTGTATAAACTCACTATTTTCACTAAAAATCCACTAAAATAATTTTAGTGCAAACACAACATAACTTACAAAATTCCTGCTAACTTGCTACTAAGACCTCATTCACATGGGTCGTACTAAAGTATATGCCCATGGAGAGCTGTGTTTACCCACCCAGGTGTTCCATCCATCTCCATGCAGGCAGTCCCATTAAAGTCAACTGACATGATCCCAATCTGACATCCGTGTGGGTGTGGATACATGGCCCTAAATGCAGACCGTGTGAGCTGAGGGACATGCACCTGAACCACCACTTGTCAGACTGGGAGCAGCGGCTGTGTTTGTGCAGTTGCTACATTCCAACTGACATCAATGAGACTGCCTGCATGGAGATATATGGAATACCTGTGCATCCCCATGCAAGTAAACATGGCCTCACAAGGCCATACACAGTAGAATGCCCGGTATGAAAGAGGTCTTTTTTAAAACTACTTTTTATTATTTTTATTAATATTTTTTTTCCATTCTATTTTTAATATTTTGTACTTTTTTTGTGGGGAGGCTTTGGTGAGACATCAGGGGTCTAAACAGACCCCTGATGTCTCTTTTTTGAGACAGAGAAAGAAACTGAGGACAGTCCCTTTCTCTGCAGCCTGACCTGCTCTGTACATGAATGACTAGGAGTCTGTAGAGACTCCTATTCATTCACAAAACTGAAGAATAATAAACAGTGATGAATGGACATAGGAGCAATCAGTACTGATCACTCACAAAGTCCATTCAAGGAAAGGAAGGGGACTGGTAAACAGATTCTCTGTACCCAAGCAGAAGCTGCAGGCAGCAGGAGGGGGAGGAGTGAAATCCAGCCAGCAGCACTACAGGGAGGAGGCGTTGAGAAACGGGTGAGGGGGGTTAACTGCAGGGGGTGGTTGGAACAGCACGGGAGTGGATTTCTGCCAATTACTCTTCTGTGACTTCCCTGCAGCAACTAAAGCTAGCAGCTGCAGGGAGGACACAGTGAGTCAGTGCCAATGAGATCGGTGCTGGGGGGGGAGGAAGGGTAATTGATATGGATGGTGCTGCAGGAAAGGGGAGGAATTAGAGTCCCAGCTGGGGGGGGGGGCAATTTAGCCAGCAGTTTGTGGAGGGGGGGAGCAGGGGGGAGAATGTCCGAGGCAGTTGCAGCAGCAGCGGGTGGGAGGGTGGTCACATTTTAGGTCAATAGCTATTGGTTTGTTCAGAAGAGTCTGCTGAACAAACTGAAATGACCATGAGCTTATGGCAGAGGCAGAAATCCAGGTCCGAATGGCGTACGGACCTGGCCAGCTGGAAGCAGTGTTGTAAGGATTAAGGGGTAATTCCAATTTCCTGAGACAAAAATTAGCACATAAAAAAAAAATAACACAACATATACAATTGTGACTCAAGTCATGCAATTTTCTGCAAAATGCAATGTAATATGGCTACCTGGAGGAGTTCTGTATACAGATGGTGTACAGAACGCCCCCTGAAAATGTGATTTGCTGCTTATGTGATTGGCTCACTGATTTTCCCAAAAGTCTGCACTAAGAAATGGTCATATGATCAAAAGCCAGTTCCTGACGACTACCGATCTTTCCTTGGAACGGAGCTGCCTTTCACAGCTTTCAAGCCTTTCAAATTGGCCTTCAAAAAGACCAGAAAATATATCAAGATCCAGCTCCCATAGACTTTAATAGGGGCCTGGGGCTATGTTTAGGTTTAGGGAAGTTTTTTTACTTTTTATTTTTTCTCCAAACCTGCTACAAATCAAACTTTGCCCAGTTGACTCAACTATTATTGACTTGCCAAAGCATGATTTGTACTGTGCCTCTTTTTTGAAGTAGGACTTTGCATCTTAAAGAGATTGAAAAGGTTTGTTTTTTTCAGTAAAATAAAAAACATGCCATAGCAATAAAAATAGTGTTGTGTTACTCTGTGATAAACACACAATATATAGAATAAACTAATAACCACTTCCAAAATATACTGTATAGTGTACAATATGTATGAAAGAAAAGAGCAATATCAATTTTCACATCATATGTCCCATAGATCAAATAAATGATTCAATTAAAAAAACAATATTAGTCTCTATGATCCATTATCCCATCTTTCTTGTGAAAAAAAATTGAAAATAATCCTGTGCTCTACCATGCTTGAAAATGAACCAACACCGGAATAAATAGCCTCTCATTGCTATTTTGTTTATACATATTGTACATTGTATGTTATTTTGGAAGTGGTTATTATTCTATATATTGTATGTTTATCACAGTGCAACACTATTTTTATTGCTATTTGATTTTGGGTGTGGGCACATTACAAGTGTTTTTGCAGCAACTATTTTATATATTTTTAGTTTGTAGTTTTGTTTTTTTCTTTAGTTAAAAAAAACATGTTATACTTACCTATTCTTTGCAATGGTATTGCACAGAGCAGTTACTTACCTCCACTTCTGGAGTCTCTCGTCGTTGCTATTCACTCCTTCTTCATGCGGGTGCCCCCATATCAGAGCCCTTTGCAGGGAATGCATTAAGGTAAAAAAAACATTTAGAATTCAAAACCAGTTTAAGTCAAAGAAAACAGTGAGCAGCACATTAATGACATCAACAAATCACACTTTAAGTCTCTTGGGACTAAGTTAGAAGCGGCACTGCCTTAGATCTTACAGGACAGATAGCCAGCTATGAGGCTTAAGCCACAGGAATGCCTTGGCACACACAGATACCAAGAAA